AAAAAAAAAAAAAAGAAAAAAGAAGCAGGCCTGCTCACGTTTCTCTGATCAGAAGGCTATTTATTCTAAGTTAAGAACTGACTGGGGCTCCCCAGATACCAGCCCAATAAAATATCACCTTGGGCTTCCCTGGGTAATAGGTGCAATTATCTCAGCCTCCAAATGGTACTTGGAGTTGATTAAATGTAGTGGAAGTTGCTGAACCTGCTGACATCACAGCTGGTGCTGCCTTCAGTCCGTGGTCTGTGCAGTCCCCCTGTCTCCACCACTGTGGCATGGACCAATCCTGTGAGCCAAGGAAATATACTGCAAATCTCAAATGTAGGTTTCCAGAGCAACCATTGAGGCTAGTTTTGCTGGGTGACTTTGGGCGGGGTCTTAACCTCTCTTGGCCTTCATTTCTCTATCTGAAACAAGGGAAAGAAGATTCCTGTGCTGGTGTATAGGAAAGAACTCAAGATTTAGAGTAAAAAATCTAGTTTGGATCTCATCACTTACTGTGTAACTTTGGGAAAATCGCTTGGTCTCTCTGAGCCTTTTCCTCAGTTGTAAGAAGAAATCATAATGGTTCATGCCTCACTTAAGCTTACATGGTAGTTGTAAGAATTAAATGAATTGGAAAGTGCTCTGCAAACTGTTACGTGTTGTAAGAGTTCTGGTTTGTTGCTTTTAACTACCTCAAGGTTATTTTGAAAGCTAATGAACCTGCGGGTTCGAGACCCACTCGGGCAACTTGGCAAGACCTCGTCTCTACAATAAATCAAAAATTAGCCGGGCATGGTAGCGCACACCTATAGTTCTGCCTACTTGAAAGGCTGAGGCAGAAGGATCGCTGGAGCCCAGCAGGTCGAGGCTGCGGTGGCCAGGAGCGTGCCACTGCACTCCAGTCTGGGCAACAGAGTGAGACTCCAACTCGGAAAAAAAAAAAGAAAACTAATGAAATAATACTGGTGGACAGATTTTTAAATAACTTTTCTATGGAAGTAAAATTTTGAGAACAAAAATTTTTGTTGTTCAACTAGATAGGAATGAACTTATGGACCAAGAACATTGTGGAGTGTGGTTATTAAACTAGAAAGTTCTTGGCAATATGATGAGTATTTAAAACCAAAGTGGTGGCCAGGAGCTCTGTGTTTGGACTTTGCCAGTCAGCCATCTACTGGCTGTATGACCCGGGCCCAAGTACTTCTCTGAGCTGTTTCCTCATTTGAAAACTAGACACTATGGTCCTGTCTGCCTCATAGAGTCGACTGAGACAATGCATTTAAAATTGCAGCCCCGATACCCAGCACCCAGTAACAACTCCGTCATGTTAGGTCTTATTATTTATTACACCTTTGCTACGTGCCAGGTACCATGCTATGCACTTTACTTATGTAAGTATTGAGTATTTTATGCATTTATTTATTTAAAAACTTTTACATAGCATGACCTCTGTGCCAGTTTCTGTACTAAACGTTTTACAGATACTAACCCACTTGGGTTGTGTTGTGTACTGCTGACATAGCTCTTCTGGGTAGGTACCTCTCATTAGTAGGTGAAGAAGTAAAAGTGTGGAGAGATTGAGTTGCCCGGGGTCCCATATCTACCAGGTGCTTGTTTTCACACCCTGATCTGTCTGGTCCTGAGCCTGTGTTCATATCCTCTATGCCCTGTAGTTGAAGCTGGCACCCCTCTCTGTGCCCTTCCAGTGGCCACTCCTAGGGCCCTTCCTGCCCCTTGGATACCTGACTTGGCTTGTCCCTTCTCATCTCTCCTCTCCTCTCCTTCCTCCTTCTCTTCTTTTCCGCTTCTCCCCCTGGGAAGGAAGGAGAATGGAGAGAGGGAGGAGACAGAGGGAAGACAAGGAGGAGACCTTCCTCCCTTCTTTCTTCCTTCCTTTTCTTGAGGCATACCATACACAAAGTGCACAGATTTGAAATACACAGCTCAATTTATCTGTAAATATATTTACACCCAGGTCAAGATAGGGAGCATCTCCATCACCCAGGGGCCACCTTTGTGCCCCTCCTGAGCCAGTACTCCCTCCTACAGGTACTCTCTCTTCTGGCTTCTGTCACCATACCTTGGGTTTACCTGCTTTTCAGTTTTGTATAAACGAAATCCTATAGGACGTACCCTCTTGTGAATGGCATTCTGCATGTCACTTTGTCTGTGAAATTCATTCTTGCTGTGGTTAGCTGTAGTTCATTCTTTTTTCATTGCTGTGTAATGTTTTGTGGTATGAATGTGATGCAGTTTGTCCATTCTACTAAGATAGGCATGTGGGTTGTTCCTGGTTTGGGGCTATTGTGAATGGAGCTGCTATGAGCATTCATGGTCTTGCTTTTTGGTAGACATAAGCCATCATTTCTCAGGAGTTGAACTCCCAGGGCATAGGGAAGACATGTGGTTAGCTTTAGTGGATACTGGCAAGCCATTTTCCAAATGGTGGTGCCAGCTGACCTTCCTACCAGCGTAGGAAAGTTCTGTTTGCTCTTATCTTCACCTGCACTTGGTGTTGTGAGTCCTCTTCATTTTAGTCATCCTGATAGTTGACTGGGAGAGCTCACTGTGATTTTAATTTCCACTTACCTGATGAGTAATGATGGTGAATGGCCATATATTTATTGGCCATTGGGATATTTTTTATGTGATATCTATTCAAGTCTTTTGCCCATTTTGAAGTTTCCGTCGTTTCTTTTTCTTCTTCTTTTTTCCCCAGGCTGGAGTACAGTAGCGTGATCATGGTTCACTGTGGCCTTGAGCTCTTGGGCTCAGTTGATCCTCCTGCCTCAGCCTCTCAAGTGGCTGGGACTACAGGCACATACCACCATGTTCGACCAATTTTTAAAAATTTTTGTAAAGACAGCGTTTTACTATAGTGCCTAGGCCAATCTTGAACTCCTGACCTCAAACGGTCCTCCCACCTAGACCTCCCAAAGTGCTGGGATTACAGGCCATTTCTTTTTCTTAATGATTTATACAAGTTGTTTATCTACTGTGGATTCAAACCCTTTGTTGATATACATGTTGAAAATCTCTTCCTCCTACCCTAGTCTGCGGTGTGTTTTCACTTTCATAAGGGTGATAAATAGAAGTTCTTCATTTTAATGATGTCTAATTTATCCATCTTTTATGGTTTATAAGTTTTGCATCCTGTTTAAGTAACCTTTGCCTACCCCTAGAAGCATTTCTCACTAGGATTTTTTTTTTTCCTGCAGGTCTGGGAATGGCCACATGGGACAGGCCTCGGGAGGCCAAGCCAGCTGTGGAGGGCGAGCCACCCCTGCCCACTGGCCGGGAGCTGGCTGAGGCCAACCGCTTCGCCTATGCTGCCCTCTATGGCATCTCCCTGTCCCAGCTATTTCCAGAGCCTGAACAAAGGTGAGTTCTTTTGTGTCACAGAGGGAAAGTCATGCATCTTCAGGGGGACAGTTATGGACAGCCAAGCAGCCTGCCAGGTACTACAGGGCAGTGTGAAGAGGAGTAAGTCACTGACCTTGCCTTTAAGGAACTCACACTCTAGTAGGAAGATAAGACATTCCCTCATTCAGTTAGTTACTTGTGTATACCTTCCCCAAGCATTTTTAAGTACCTACTGTGTGCCAAACTCAATTTGAAGTACTTAGAGGGTATATGTGAATGAGACAGACACCATTTCTTCCCCTAGGATACAGTCTAGGGGGAGATAAGATATTTATTCATTCATGAAACATGCATTCGTTGAGCACCTACTATGTGCTGGGTGTAGTGCACAGCCTTGTGGAAGAAACAAAGAAGAGCGAGACCTGGCTCTTACCCTTAAGGTAGTTTGTCTAGCTGGGGACTCCCAGGTGGCTGATTGCAGCAGGGGACAGAGACAGATGAGTGAGTGCCATGGTGGATTTAACCAGGTGTCGTGGGAGCAAAAGAATGACAGTGTTATATTTCATGTCTAGCATTGCCAATGTCTACCATGTGAGTGTTTAAATTGTATATTTGGAGTCAGAATGGCAGAATTGCTAAGGGCATGGGTTTGTCCTTCAAGGCCCTCAAGGATTACAGTGGGAAGAGTTTGGAGATAGGGGGCCAGTTAGGAGGCTGATGCAGCGTCTGGGGGAACCAGGACCCTGTGGTGGAGGGAGGACACAGATGGGACAGACTTTTCTCAAGGAGAATGGAGTTGACTTGGGAACAGGTTGAATGTTGGGGGTGAGGCAGAGGCAGGAACTAACTATGACTCCAACGATTCAGGAAGGGAGGAGAGAGTAGGAGAACAGAGAGACCATTACCAGGATAAGGAGCACAGGTTGGGGGACAGGAGGTGATGAGAAGCTCTTGTGTCTGCAGTGTTTTAGAGACAGCCCCCCCATACACTCAATGGTACTCCATGAGTAAACTTCCCTCACATTTTGGGTCTTAGCTGTTTGCGCTTTGGGGTTTTGTTTTTTGTATTCATCTCTATACTGGACTGAACACTTGAGCATCTTCAACTTCTTAGGGGTCACCTCCAGGAAGCACTCGCTAACCTATCCCCCAGACCAGGGTGTTGCTCTGCCTGTAAGCCCAGTGACTCACCACTATAGCTCCACACTGCACTGGAACTCTCTGTACCTGCCTCCTCCAGTGCAAGCTCCCAGAAGGTAGGAGCCGCCTTGCTCCTCTCTGGGCCCCCAGGGCCATGCACACAGTTTGGGCTAGCAAAGACACTTGCCAAAAGCTCTTGAAAAGGGGAGGTGGGTAAATGCTGGCCAATAGCAGGGACATGTGCCTTAATTTAGACTCACATCTGGGTTCAAATCCTAACTCTGCCACTTCCTAGTTGCATGTGACTTTGGACAGGATGTTTAACTTTCCTAAGTATCAGTCTCTTCATCTGTAGAATGAGGCTAGTGATACCATCTTGCAGGGTGGTTGCAAGAATTAAATGAGATAATGTAGGTAAAACACATAGCACAGTGCCTGGCACATAGTAGGCACTCAATAAATGGTGGTGGTTGCTTGTTAACTCTTGACTTACTTTCTTTGCCCTAGTTGTACCAGTCATGGCATTTGTGGCTGCAGGTTACAGAACATGGTATTAAAAGATATTTAAACAGCAGGAGATTTATTTTTTTCACTTAACAAGAAACCCAAAAGTAGATAGTTTCAGGGTTGGTTCAGGGTCTCCAAAGGCCTTTGGGTTGGCTTCTTAACAGTTCTTTTGGCCTTCTCCTCCTGATCACAAAATAGCTGCTGCAGTCCTATGTGTCACACTCTCGCAAGACAAGGCTCACAGCAGGAACGAGGAGGGCAAGGATTCTCCTCAAATCTCTCATCAGGGAGGAAATCTTTCCCAGAATGTCCCAGAAACCTTCCTTTTATGTCATTGACCAGATCCTGTCATATGCCCAAGCCTCAGCTACAAGGGAGCCTGGGAAAAAAGAAAGGTTTTTGCTGTTTTCAGTCTCCATCATGGGAGGTATGTCCTGCTGGCCAGGAAGAAGGGGCTGGGCAATTACTGCTTCAGGGAAACAGCCAGCACTGTGGCAACACCATCAGAGAGGGGGTTGTAGGAGGGCATGTGTTGATGGCCCTGCAGAGCCTGGCACAGAGATACCGCCAAACAAATACTGGGTGGTCTTGTTAGTAGCAAAACCCTGACCTAATAAACCAGTACATAGCCAGGGAAGGGTCTGGGGTACTTCATTTCCATAAACAAAAATTTGTGAATCTGGACTATATGCCCAGCCCATACCAGGCACCACCTTGGGGAGCACATAAGGTATTGAGTTACTGTCCAGTTTCTCCCCACCCCCATTTCCAAGTGTTGTTCTGAGCACACTGGTTGTTAACTAGCCTTAAGCGTTTGTCTTGGGATGCTGCCTTCTCAAATGTTTCTGATTCAGTATGCCAATTGTTTCCACATGGTTGATCTGTTTTCTGAGGCACAAAACATGTTTTTTTTTTTTAAAGGTCTCAATCTTGGCCTGGTGCTATGGCTAACACCTATAATCCCATCACTTTGGGAGGCTGCGGTGAGAGGATTGCTTGAACCCAGGAGTTTGAGGCCAACCTGGGCAACATAGTGAGACCCCGTCTCTATAAAAACTTTGTTAAAATTTAGCTGGGCATGGTGGTGCGTGCCTGTAGTCCCAACTACTCAGGAAATTGAGGTGGAAGGATTGCCTGAGCCCAGGAGCTCAAGGCTGCAGTGAGCTATGATTGTGTCACTTCACTTCAACCTGGGTGGCAGTGTGAGACCCCAATTCAAAAACAAAAATCCTCTATCTTTCTAAAGTCCAGATATTCTATTGGTTTCATTAATCTTTAGCAAACACTCTGTGACCATTTTTTTTTGTTCCCATGGGGCATAAAGGCAAGCCTCTAAAATATTTATTTCTTATCCATGCTGTAAACATACCAGATGCCATTCCCTACAATGAATTCTATTTATTAAACATGATAAATTAATGGTGTAGAGCAGGAGTTGGCAGACTGCTGCCAAGAGCTGGATATTTGAGGCACACAAGCTGTGTGGTCTCTGTCATAGTTACTCAACTTTTCTGTTATAGCCCCAAAGCAGTCAGAGGCAGTATGTAAAGAAATGAGTATGGCTATGTTCCAATAAAACTTTATTTACAAATAAGGGCAACAGCCACATGTGGCCTGTGAGGTGTAGTTTACTGAGCCCTGGTGAGTGGGAGGAGCTTTGGACCAGGAATTGGGAAGCTTGGATTCCAGGTGCACCTGGGCTGCTGGTTCAATGTCAAAAGAAAAAAGAAAAAAGAAACCAAGGCCCAGAGAGGGGAAGTAGCTTATCTAAGACCACACAGCTAGTGGCAGAGCTGGGATTTGAACCAGTCTGCGGTCTTAACTGTGCACTCCTGCTATGAGAAGCTTCTCTACATCCAAGACTTTCTTCATGAGCAGCAGGGCCAGGCCATGTTGAGGCTCTTGGCCCTGATCCCTTTCTTCATGTAAATGTACCCCTAAGTAATGTTCAATTCACTTAACCATCCCCCCCTCCAGGGTAATGCCAGTAAATTGCAGTGGGTAAATTATAATGATTGTAATAGCAGTAGCTAACATTTATCGAGGGTTTACTGGTGCCAGACCCTGTTACCATGTCATTTAATCTTCCCAACTGGCCTGTGAGGCAGGTCCTGTTATGTGTAAGGATGAGAAGGGATGGCCAAAGCCCCCACTTATTGAGTGATCAGTGCCTGGTGGTGCTCAGGGATGGAACCACCAGAGACAGGTAGTCCCTGCAGCGGGTAAGCATGGCCTCGGGTGTCCCAGAGGTGTGGCTTTGAACCTGGAGCTGTCACTTAAGTTTTCTGGATCTGGGTTTCCCTATGCCTAGATTGGGGATAACTAGTACCTCTCTCATGGGGTAATGGTGAGAATTAAACAGACTAAACAGTTCAGTGCTGTGTAAAGCAGTTAGCACAGGGACTGATTCACAGTTGCTCTGTGATTGTTACTTGTTGTCATGTATTTCAACTAGACCCCCAGCCACATGAATAGCCATTACCAAGCCTCTGCCCATTTAAAATGCTACGTGCTATTTGATAAATTGCTGTACTGGCACTTAAATAATTTGCTGGTTCATTTGTCCTTGGAAAGAAAAGCATGTACTGTATAGTGCTTCCTGTGTACCAGGGATTGTTCTAAGAACATGACAAATAGTAACTTAGCTAATCCTTTTAACAACCCTTTGAAATAGGTTCCAGTATCTCCACTGTTTTACAGATAAAGAAACTGATGCCCAGAGATATACATGGTGGCTCACACCTGTAATCCCAGTGCTTTGGGAGGCAGAGGCGAGAGAATTGCCTGAGCTCAGGGATTCGAAACCAGACTGGGCAACTTGGCAAGTAAATCAAAAAATTAGCCACACATGGTGGTGTGCACCTGTAGTCCCAGCTACTTGAAAGACTGAGGCGGAAGGATCGCCTGAGACCAGATGTTGAGGCTGTGGTAGCTGTACTGCACTCTAGCATGGGCAACAGTGTGAGACTCCAAGTCAAAAAGAAAACCTTAAAAAAGAAAAAGAAAAAAGAAACCAAGGCCCAGAGAGGGGAAGTAGCTTATTTAAGACCACACAGCTAGTGAGCTGGTATTTGAACCAGTCTGCGGTCTTAACTGTGCACTCCTGCTATAAGATGCTTCTCTACATTCAAGACTTTCTTCATGGGCAGCAGGGCCAGGCCATGTTGAGGCTCTTGGCCCTGATCCCTTTCTTCATGTAAATGTACCCCTAAGTAATGTTCAATTCACTTAACCATCCCCCCCCTCCAGGGTAATGCCAGTAAATTGCAGTGGGTAAATTATAATGATTGTAATAGCAGTAGCTAACATTTATCGAGGGTTTACTGGTGCCAGACCCTGTTACCATGTCATTTAATCTTCCCAACTGGCCTGTGAGGCAGGTCCTGTTATCATCCACATGTTACCTCAGAGGAAAATGAAGCTGAGAGAGGTGACATGAGGACACAGCGCCCATCACCCAGGGAGCCAGGACTCCGCCAGGTGGTTGGACTTCAGAGTCCGACCCTTTACCCTACCCTCTACTGCCTCCCTCTGTCACCTTGTAAATAGAAACCTGATGCTGTTAAAAAGCTAGCTGTGTATCTACTACATGCCAAGTCCTGCTCTGGGTGCATTATCTGTGTCATCTCATTTCTTCTTTGACCAACCTCATGAAGTTGGTCTCTTGAATCCATTTTTCAGATAAGGACACTGAGGCACAGAGAGGTCAAGATACTTTCTCAAGGTGCTCGCTGCTCAGATGCCCTTTCAAGAATGAAGGACTTTCACCCCTAGCTGCTGGGAGGGCCACCAACACAGCCCCAAACTGTGTCCTCTTTGGGGCCCACCCAGCTGAAGAGAGCCACCTTGGCCCCTCCCTGGCGTGACTGCATCCAATAAGGGACTGAAATATGAAGGCCCAGTCCTCTCACCTCACTGGGGCAGCTCTGAAGGGAACTCACCTCCCTACAGAATGGGCTGAGGCCTCCATTGCTCCCACTGCCCGGCTCTGCTTCCACCCTTCCTGCCCACATGTGTAGCTTCCAAGGGGAGCCCTAACCAGCTCCATTCGGGGCAGCTTCCCAGGAATCTGACCGTAGTGAAGGCGAGGCCAGGACTTGAACCTGAGCTCCTCACCACTCCCACTGGGAGCCTGGCCTCAGAGCTCTTGCCACTCAACTGCCTCTCTAACGAATGTGGTGGCTGGGCTCATGGTAAGAGGGCGGAGGTGGGGAGGGAGACTGAGCATTCTGAGGTCGCCCCACCACTGGGAGCCCTGAGTCTACCCTGATCCAGTCACAGTCCCTACAGGGTGCAGAAGTCAGTGCTGATGTCAGGGCTGTGCAGCGTGAGGCAGGCTGGGACTCTGATTTTGGAATAGACCTGGTTTGGGGTGGCAGCCTTTCCCCTGGACTGCATAATTACCTCCTAGTTGACTCCTGTTTACACCTGTCCCCACAGGTGGCTCTGCATCCAAAACCTGATGTGGACTCTCTGGGGGCCCCCGGATGCCCTGGGCTCCCACCCCCATGTCTCGGCTTCTAGGGGTCGTTTTCCTCTAGGGTAGCCCGCACCCCATCCTCCCGGGGGCTCCTGCAGGACTCCACACAAGTGCCGCTGTGGACAGGGACCCACAGTGGCAGTGCTCAGGGTGAGGCGCGCACTCTTCCCCTCACTTTATCCACTTCTGCGGCAGCCGACTTCTTCCAGAAAGCACATCCTTGGCAATGTCCCAGGGCATCAGAAGGCCTTCTCTGGGAAGACTTTTCTAGTCGCTGCTGCCACCTCCACAGGTGGATGTGGGGTCCCTCTGGGAGCTGCCTAGGACTTGATTCCTCCCTCAGTCACCCGAGTGTCTCCACCCGCTGTGAGCTTCCTCGTCAGAGATGGAGTCTTGTCACCTTTGAAGCCTCAGTCCCCGGCATAGCCCAGGCCCAGGGCATGTGACCAGTGGCTGTCCATTGCCCTCTTCGCTGTATCATCAGCCTCTGTGGTAAAAAGCTTTGGTGGGAGAAGAAGCTAATGTCCACATCACCTCAGGTGAGGTTTTCGCCTCCCTGTCTGTATTCATGGGCCACAGTCGCTAAGTGGTGTGTGGGTCAGCTGGTCACATCCATGACCACGACTAATCTACACTTGCCAGCAGCCTCATGAAGCTGGGCTCTGAGGAACTTCAGAATCTAAGTCACATGTGCCTTTCAGCTCGTTCTGCACAGAGTTCATGGCAGGCCTCGTGAAGTGGCTGGAGTTGTCTGAAACCGTCTTGCCGACCATGACTGCTTTTGCCAATGGCCTGGGAGGCGAAGGAGCAGATGTGTTTGTTGAGATTTTATTGAAGGACCCCATCTTGAAGAAAGACCCATTGGTGATCACTCAGGTACACCTAACCCCTGGTGGCATTTGCCAGGGACAGTAGAACAAATCATTTTCGTTCAAAGTCAGTCAGAAAACCGCTTCATGGGAAAGGGTGGTGGATGATAAATATGTCATAATAGCATGTGATGATGATCATAACTGATGTTAAATTATTTATTGCTGACTTATAGTGCTTATTATATTCTAATACCTTTATAAAAATCAACTCATTTAATTCTCAAAGCAATGTTATAAGGTAGGTAGTACAACCATCCCCATTTTATAATTGAGAAAACTGAAGCACAGAAGGGTTAAGTAACTTGCTCAAGGTCACTCAGCTGATAAGTGACTGAGCCAGGATTTGAACCTTGGCAGTCTGACTCCAGAGCCTGCATTCTCCCAAGCTGTAATGCCTCTTTTCAGAACTTTTCTGTGTGTCTTTGAACACGTCAGTCACCAGTTGTGTGTGTAGTTAATACAGACAGAGTTTGTGACACAGGCTGTTGGTGGGGCAAGTGTATTGATTAAAACAGCCCCTGTCTTCTTTTGTTCTCTAGGCAAAGCTCTCACTGATTTCTTACTTCCTTTGCCTGCATGTTTAGTATCTGGCTCCCCTCTAGAATCCAAGGTAGAGGCCTTGTTTTTCCACTGGGAGGAGTCAGTAAACATTTGTCAAATGAGTGAACTGATTACATATCAAGTTGTCACTGATTCCTGTCTTCTGTTTCCCCAGGACCTTCTGAGCTTCTCACTCAAGGATGGTAAGTTGATTTTCTAAGCTCTGTAAATTGTGGGTGCCCATCTTCATCCCTGGCCATTGAAGCTGGCGATAGGTGCCTGCACCTGGGGCCAGATCTTCATGGCCTTGGCACTAGGAAGAAGAGGGATGCCAGTGTCATCAATGAGCTGGTGAACCCTCTGCTCACCCCAACACCATGTGGTGCCTTCTGCATTTATTTTACTTGTTTCTCATGACAGGCCTGTGACTTTCCCTTCCAAGTAGCCTTTGGACCTGGCCCCTTCCCCATCTCCACCCACGCCCTTGGTCTGAGCCTCCACTGCCAGCCTGGGCTCCCCTGTGATTGCATATGTGGCTTCTCATATTCTCTAAACTGGGGAGAAGTTTCATCATTGACGACCTCTGGTATTCATCCTTGAGGCAAGCGGGAGAGGACACCTAACGTTGAAATGAAATCCCCAACAGCCTCCAAGCCCTGTAATAGGGAAATTTTGCCCTGCTCCTTGCTGAAACCCCGATAGTGGGAAGAGGAAGAACAGAATTTTGCCAGCAGGAGCTTAAGGGGAAAGAGCAACAGAGGAAGGTCAGTGAGGCATCAGTATGGTTGGGTGGGCTTCTGGCCAAATGGGGGGCAGGGAAGTGGAGGGAGTGAGGAGGGTGGGATGGCTTTCACAAGGGCTGCAGAGCCTAGGGGTGAGGGGCGAGGGGCTGCTTCATGAGCCATTCTGAGGAAAGAGGCAGCAAAATTGCCGACATACCAGAGACCAGGGGCTCGAGACAGAGGACTCAGAGGTGAGGCTCAGCCCTGAAATTCTGGTTGCCCACTGCCAGCTGCAAAGGCATGGGGATCCTGTCTCAGGAGTCCCTGCACGTGTCTCCAGTGAGGCTTATGTGAGGGAGTCTTCAGAGACCCTAAGAGAGCAGGGAGCTGGGCCTTCCTGCAAGCCGCCCAACAGGTCATCTGAGCTGCTTTCTCATGCTTGCTTGCTAATCAAGTTTGTTCAGTGCAGACAGTGTCTGCCAGGGTTGCAGGACACATAGGTTACTCTGCCTTGGGGCTTCTTGTTATGAAGGTTGTACATTTTATGAGAAATGCATACCCACTGACCCGCTGAGTCAGGATCTGCGTGGTGGTAAGCACCCAGGCAAACCTATGTGTTTTATAGTCCAAAGAACACTGCTCTAAGTTCGACCCCCCAAAGAATATATTTGGGCCTTCGCCATCCACACAAAACATTTTTTTTTTGAGTCGGAGTCTCACTCTGATGCCCAGGCTGGAGTTCAGGGGCACACTCATGGCCACCACATCCTTGACCTGCTGGGCTCTGACGATCCTTCTGCCTCAGCCTTCCATGTAGCTGGAACCACAGGTATGCGCCATCACGTCTGGCTGATTTTTAAATTTCTTGTAGAGATGCGGTCTCATCATGTTGCCCAGGCTGGTCTTGAACCCCTGAGCACAGGTAATCCTCTCGACTCCATCTCCCAAAGTAGTGGGATTACGGGTGTGAGCCACCACACCCAGCCCACACAAAACATTTTAACTCCATGTCGTGGAGCCACATGGGACCTCCGGTGATGACTGGGTCCAGCCTCTGCTCACAGGACCTTCAGTGATGCTTCTTGTGGCAGAGGGGGCCAGGTGCCCGCGAGGGAGTGCTGAGTGGGCCTGAGAACACCCAGACTACAGACTGAGTTTGGAACACTTTCTGTCTACACCCACTGTGGTTTACATTTTCAGGGGCCATGCAGTCTCAGGAGTTTTCACCTATTTCATTAAAGCATGATTTTGTATCACTATTGTTTTAACAGAAGTGAGGAAGGATAATAATATCTGAGCCTCCTGGACTTTTGAAGAGAGGTTGCGTTTGCACAGTGATCTGTCTGAGGCTCGGAGCAGCACCTCCACACTTGGAGTTGAATATTATCACCATCGTAGTGACCCAGCCACCATGCGCTGAGTGTCTGCTGTGTGCCAGGCATGGTGCTAAAGGTCCATGAGGGCATTTGACTCCTGATCCCCCAGCGAGGTGATTGCGGCGGTTGCTCCTATTTTGCCTCCCAGGGGCATTCTCATAGGTGACATCTAAACCAACATTGTCTTTTAAATTTCTGTTGACTATCACCACCATTTTTTTTTTTTTTTAATTTTTTAAATTTTTTATTTTTGAGTTGGAGTCTTACTCCTTCACCCAGGCTGGAATGCAGTGGCACACATGCTCACGGCCACCCCAGTGTCGACCTTCTGAGCTCCAGCGATCCTTCTGCCTCAGCCATCCAAGTAGCCGGAACTACAGATGCGCTATCATGCCCAGCTATTTTTTTATTTTACTGTAGAGATGAGGCCTCGCCAAGTTGCCTGGGCTGGTCTTGAACCCGCGGGCTCAGGCAGTCTATTCGCCTCACCACCATTTATTAAGCACCATTTACATGCTGGTAACCGCACCTGGCCCTTGTCAGTCATTGTTTCATTTCATCCTCATAGCCATCCTTGAATGTAGGCATTGCCACTTTACAGATGAGCAAACTGAGGCCCAGAGAGGTGATGTAAGTTGCCTAAGCTGGTAGGTGGCAGAGCTGGACACTCTAAAAACAAGTGCTATTAACCAAAACCTTGGCAGATTTTACCCACAAGGGTTGGGGAACCAAGGTATCCCCACAGGACTATGATAAGGCCTCATGTCTAAATAATACCAGTCCCTGATAACATCTGGGAGGTGCCTTTGGTTTCTCTGATATCACTGCCAGATGCCGGCAGCTGAGAACAGGAGCAGCATTAGTGGCACACCGGGAACCAAGGAGCAGGTGCCAGGACTCAAACGGTCTTCAGAGGTCAGAGGTAGGGTGGACCCTCAAATCACCAAGACTACCCTAACATCATTTATATGGGGAAACCAAGGCCCGGCGAGGGGAGTGACTTGCTGACAGTTGTCGTGTCTGACCTCTTTATCTGTTCTAACAAATAATCAGGGACTGAGAACGGGGAGCATTTGAGGTGTCATCCTGCCCGGGTGTTGAAAGTTCAAGCTCTACCTTGACAAGTTGCTGAATGTCTCTGTGCCTCAGTTTCCTCAAGTGTCCAGTGGGAATAACAGTAGTCTTTACCTGATAGGGTAGCAGTGAGGAGCGCATGAGCTAATCTATGTAGAGTGCCCAGCACAGAGCAAGCCATGAGCGCTGCTGGAGTGACAGTGGGTCGTGGTCAAGTGGCAAAACTCATCCTGCCTCTGAGACTCTCATTTGTGTGACTTTGGTCTAGTCACTTAACCTCTCTGAACTGCGATTTTGAATACAAATAAGGGGCAAAAGGTAGATGCTCCATTAAAAAATGTTTTTTAACTGTCTTGGGTCCTAAGAACATGGTCAAGGATCTTGTAAGGAAAAGGTTGGTTTCATAGAGGGGCTGGCTGTCCAGGTCCTTCCCTTCAGGCTCCATGAAGACCACACCCTTGCCTGGCCTGTTGACTGTTATATTCCAGTATCTGCAACACTGGTGGATGCCTGGCGGGCACTTAGTATCTGTGGGAGGGAAGGAGGGCCGGAGGAGGGCAGGGGTGGAGGGATGGGCAGCCTTTCTTTGGAACGAGCTAGATGCCAGGCAGGATGGTTTGTCCTCCTCCTCCAGACTGATGGGTGGGGACCCACAGCAGAGAAGGAGGCTCTCTGTGCTGCAAGTTTTCTTCCTGGGTGTGAGGCAGGTCAATTAGTCCTGGAATCAACCCAGGAAATCAACATGAAAAGCTGCATTTCTCAGAACTTCCTGGAAGGTTGACCTTTACTGACAGCGTTGGGATCTTAGTCATAAAACGATGCCATATTGGCAGTTGGGTGGAATTTTCTGCTGATCGCTTTCTCCTTGTCTAACAGCAGCCACGAAGCACTTTACTCACGCAACTGAGAAAATGAGTCTTTCATATGATGAGGTTAAACTGAATCTGAGCTGGTCACTCTAAATAAGAGTTTCTCAACCTGGGCCCTGTTGATGTGCGGGGCTGGCTAACTCTCTGTTGTGGGGGCTGTCCTGTGCATTGTGGGATGTTCAGCAGCATCCCTGGCCTCTGTCCAGAGATGCCAGTGGCACTCCCTGGGATGGGACAACCAAAAGTGTCTCCATACAATCACTAAATGTCCTCGAGAAAGCAAAACTGAACATTTGGCCTTCTCAGGTGGGGCCAGTCTATTTGCATTTAGTGACCTTTATCATCTGCATTCCAGTTGTTCTCCCAGACCCCTTATAGAGATTGTGAGCCACTGTCTGTAGTTCTCAGATCTGCTGAGGTGGCCTGTTATCCCCACATACAGGGGAGAAAGTTAAGGCTTAGGAGGCTGAGTAGCCCAGGGTCACATTTCAAAGGAAAGTTTCAAAATTCTGTTTAAGGCAAATCACCCCTCACTGTGAACTCTGTATGGGTGCCCAGGAAACTTGCACAGCGTCATGCATTTTGCCCTCTGTACCCTGAATCCAAAGGGAGGATCAGCTTCAGGCCTTGGGACCAGAGGAGGCTCACGCACACAGGCCACAGCAATCTTGACCGCCAACTTGGCTCCACTTTCTGATCTGGTATTTATTACTGGATTGTGAACCTTACCTCCCTGATGAATCAGAAGGGCTTTGAGATGTTAGTCTCTAGTTGCGGTGAAATGCAAATATTGTCACCTGGTTGCTGGGTTCTCCGTCTTGAGACTCAGACAATTTGTTATCAGTGTCGAAACAATGTGGTTCATCCATTCAGCAGATGAGAACCGAACTCCCGTTGTGTGTGCCCGGCCCCATGCAAGGCACCAGGAATAATTTTAACAGCTGATGCTCATGGGGTGCCTACAGTATGTATGCCTGGCTCTGAGCTAAGTGCTTTCTTTATGGGTTCCAATTCATTTCAGCCCCACAAGGATCCTACGAGGTCGGTGCTATTACTGTCCCCAGTTTACAGCAGAGAAAACTGTAGCACAGAGAATGAAATTACCTGCCCAAGGTCACACAGTGGGAAAGCGAAGGGTCAGGATGCCAACCCAGGCCCTGTG